AGATGCGTAGGGTACAAATCTGAAGCCCCCGCAATGCAAATGACTATCTATAAAAATTAAGTTTATAGATAGTCATTTGCATTGCATTGCAATTAAGGCGTGCTAAGCCTTAAACTATTTCAAAAAATCTATTGCTGTGTTTGAGTGGATCCCTGGATGGTTTGGATTGCCAGTTACACCCGATTGGTGTTGCTGCTGTCGAGATCCAGAAATGACCCTTGCGAAGCCCGGGTGAATTGCTGGTTCTATAATAATAGTAGGTAACCAGTGCTTGAACTTTTGACCTTAATTCGTTAAATTTTAAAGTTTGAATATTAAGCAGGCTTTATTTCATTTTCAACTGCACATTAATATATAAAACAGATATTTAATGTGCAAAATATAAAAGAAATACTTTTTATGCCTTGACATACAACTCCACATACTATTAAATAAGGAATATTTTAAATCAAATTCAAAATTCACAGCTCATTCAGTCAAACTGTTAGTAATTATTTTTATCGGCCACATTTTAAAAATTTTTGACAACAATATCTTCTCTATGCAACTGTTGACCACAGAGTATTTAGTGTTTGGCATTGGTAGTACCAACGTAAACAATTAATGCTTTAATTAATATAATTAAATATAAGAAATAAAACTTATGTAATAAAACATATAGATAAATTTAAGCTTTCTGCACTTCTGCATTCTGCATTCTTTAACCATGCCAAAAATCTCACAGTTCTTCTGCGCGCAATACGCTTATAAATGGATGCAAGTTTTCTTCGCGTATTTAATAAATAAATGTACAATTTATCAATGTCAGATATCGGTTTCACTATCACCTTATCGTACAACTCGTAGTAAAAAACTATTAAAGCACGCCTTATCTTACGAATTCTTTTTGTTATTAAAAAAGAATGTATGTATAGTATGACGAGTGTCAATTTAATCAGGGATCAAATGAAGGGCAAGGTTTTCGTTGCTAGGCTGCACGAGATCTTTAAGCTGCGCGCGAAAGACGTGTTCCAGGTGAGCGTCACCATATCTCGCCTCCAATGCCTTAAGGAGCTGCTCGTAGGTCACTTTCATACCGAGAGCTTCCAACACAGTTAAGGCTTGGTCGCGCAGGCCTAGGGTGAGTGCAGTCATGGCCTGGCTTTTATTCCAGCCGTTCGCCTCCATTACGGCCTTGAACTGTATTTTGTAGGCTGACCAGGAAGAAGTCTCGTCGAACGGTGGCACTTTGAACCCACGTAGCTGTTATTCCATTCCCAAGTTTGAGGTCATCCAGAGTTTTCTTCATGTCAGCCAACACTTTGTTCACTTGGTCCATTCGGGTTTTAGCTTCCTCGATTCGAGTTTCAGCTTCCGACAGGCGGTTGTCATGTTGACCAACCCTATCCTTCACCTCCCTTATCTCTTATCCGAAGTTAGCGTGAATGTCCTTCACGAAGAGCATCTGCTCTTCCTGTCGGCGGGCCTATTCCTCCTGTCGGCGGGCCTGTTCCTCCTGTCGGCGGGCCTGTTCCTCCTGTCGGCGGGCCTGTTCCTGCAGCATCACCATCAGAGCACCTAAGTCAGGTACTGCAGCTGTAGGAGCTACTGACGGGCCTGCAGCCGGCGGCTGGCCCTCCGACGTCTGCGGCGTTGCACCACCAAATCTTGTTTGGTCCGTCTCCTGCTGGAGTTGACTTCGGGTACGGATACCCTCCATCTGACACCAATTGTTACGAGCTTAGGGTTCGTGACAGTAAAAACTTCCGATTGAATTACCTAAATTAACACTTTAATTACCGAACACAAATTAAAACTTAAAAGACACCAATAATAAATCACAGTAATCACTTTTAATTCACTTTATTTCGCTCCGAAGCTTCGCTTGTATCGCCAAATTCAATACTGCCCCGATCCCGGCTATCAATGGCTTTATATAGGCCTCTTCCACCGAAACATCCAGAATAATCCAGCAAAAACGGGCGCCGACCACCGACCAGGCGCAGAAAGTTCGAGTGTGGGGCTTTCTAGAAAGCTTAGTTCCTCTGTTCGATAATAAATGGCGCTAGTGCCATCAACTGTGGCGCGCAACAGTATTCTATATAATAAGTAATAAAAAAAATCATGCAATAAACCTAATAGTTCCAGTATGTTCTGCATGACTTACAAAATAATGCTAAATGGTAAATGCATTGCTACACAATTCGATTGTTCACATCAGTAAAGTTGTTACTAAAATAAAAACCATGTTATAGAAGAAATTAATTACTCGAATAAAATGTTAAATAACAGAATATCAATAAAATCGATATCAAGAAAATCAATTTATTATCTTTGTATTGAGTCTTTAAAAAATAAAACACTACTTTTATTTACTTTCTTATGCAGATATTAGAATTTCGTTGAATATTTTTTTATAAAAATTGGGGTAATGCCCTATCACTAGAAATTTATCCCATATTGTGAAGGTATTTTAAGAAACAATTATTAGGAGGCTAATTAAATTAAAAAAAGGTTTGTATCCCATACAAAACAAGATGCGTAGGGTACAAATCTGAAGCCCCGCAATGCAAATGACTATCTATAAAAATTATCTGACTCTATATTAAAGCAAAATATTTATTCTATACTATTTTATTCTACAGAGCTACTAAGTACTAAGTAAGAAAAATAGTATTTAATTATAGCAATTAAATAATAAAAACTTATTTTAATTTATAAAATATACTGCTGCTACATATCCCATTAAATCTTATTTACTTATCTGGTGTTTACATGTCACAGCTAAAAGCCGAAGCGAGGGTTACCTAGGTTTAGCAGGCTACAACTAGGTGTAGCTTATTGCAGTTAGTTATTTGAAGCCATGTTCATGGTTTGGTTTCTTCTCAAACTAGATCTAGTAAAGTTAAATATATTATATTTAATTTTACTAGATTTTTTTGGGCGGTGCTACAGTCCCTTCAGCGGTGCCAAGTTGATTGTCGGTATATCGAAGTTCTGAAGTGTTTGTACAGTAGGGCTACGATGACTATATACGATGAGTACAGAACCAGAGTACGAAACCTATCCAACTGCAGAGAGGTGTAAGACAGGGTAACGTTATTTCCCCGAAACTCTTCACCGCTGCATTGGAAGACGTTTTCAAGCTACTGGACTAGAAAGGATACGGTATTAATATGAATGGCGAGTACATCACTCGCCTTCGATTTGCCGACGATATAGTCCTAATGGCAGAATCCCTGGAGGACCCAACGGATGGGTCTTAAGATGAACATGGACAAAACATATAGCCGATAGTTGTTGGGAGCACTAAGCTCGAAGTTGTTGACAAGTATGTTTACATGGGACAAATAGTCCGAATAGGTAAGTCCAACTTCGACCGAGAGGTCAATCGACGGATTCAACTCGGCTGGGCAGCGTTCGGAAAATTACGACACGACACATCTTCTCGTCAGGTATACCTCAAAATCTGAAAACTAAGTTGTACAACCAGTGCGTGTTGCCAGTGATGACCTACAGAACCGAGACGTGGTCCTTCACTGCTGGCCGTATGAGGACGCTCAAAGTCGCTCAGCGAGCTATGGAGAATGCTTTGCTCGGAGTTTATCTGTGTGATAAACTTAAAAATGAGGATATCCGCAGTAGAACCAGAGTGACCGACATAGCACAACGGATTAGTAAGCTGAAGTGGCAATGGGCCGGCCATATAGCTCGAAGAACCGACAACCGCTGGGGAAAAAAGGTTCTCGAGTGGCAGCCTCGTACCGGTAGGCTAAGTGCAGGGAGACCCCCCACTAGATGGAGTGACGAGCTGGTAGACATGCAGGAAGTCGATGGATGCAGATGGCTCAGGACCGTGCTTTGTGACATACCTTGGGAGAGGCCTATGTTCAGCAGTGGACTTGTGAAGGGCTGTTATGATGACGATGATGAAGATTTTTTTAATATAGGATAGGGAGACAAACGAGCACACAGTCTACCTGATGGTAAGTGGTTGCTGTGGCCCATAGACATCTACATAATATATCCTCGATTACGAATCAAAATGCAGATGCGTTGTCACCCGTGAGGACTAAGATGGAATGCCTCGTTTCCAGTAAAAAGGGTCTCCAGTTACCATACGAAATACAACAACATTAAGCTACTATTTTACGCTGGTATTCTGTTAGAGCGCGGTCATTCCCCGGTCGAGCCGACCCATTCGTGCTACAACTATACTACTAATATAACTGCAGCATGGCTCTACCACGTAAAAACAACACAAAGATAAAGTTACCTCTCTTAAATTTGACAAAATACGAGAGCACCTCTTAAATAATATCAGCTACAGTAGGTTAAGACTTGGCTAGAGTGGCCTTTGGGCCACCCTACCATTTTTTTTTAAATTGTTGTGATAAAATTATTGTTGGTACTGTTACATAGCTAATATTCTTCTATATTCATTAATATCATTAAATTAGTTACTTGTATTTGTATATTATTTATATAATATTTTATTATTATTTGTATTGTTTTCTTACTACTATAAATCAGTGCTTGACTACTATTCAACCTGATGTTGAGTGGGGATGTAGCCCAAGATGGGAAAGCACAATTACTTTGTTTAATAAGTGACAAGTACACTGCCGTCAGTGATGTTTTGAATGCAATACTTTGTTCAAAGTGACTGACATGGCAGCTAACAGATTTACAAACACGAATTTACTCTTGCTTTGAAGACACTTACATTGTGATTAGATGAACTAAAGGGATAAAAGGGATAAAATATTAAGTCATGCCATTCCTGCACACAATTTCAGAAATGTAACCTTTGGAACAACAGCTGACTATTTTGTGTCTGTGCTTGAGACTAGCAAGATAATATTTACCAATAAACATCTGGTTAGTTTAATTAACTGCATTTGGCTCCACCTAGTTAGAGGCGGACCAACCTAGGTGTATTACCACACATCGGCTAATATAAATATATATACAAGCCAAACAAGATAACTGTTTTATACAATATTTATGAATAACTTTACCTCGACCAAAGTTCCTTCTCCCTCTGGAACTACAAAGTGCATACCACCCTGTGGTGACTCTAATGAAAATTCAATACCAATTCGCAACCCTCTCCCTTCTCCAACCAAATGAGCAGCATCATCTGGCACTTGAATATGAAGTTCTCCAGAGTTATGATCAGGGTCAACTTTTTGTGCAGCTGCTAGATGATATCGAGAAAATACCTCCAAAGATCGCCTGCAACATTTAAAAACAGTATTTTAACATACACATAATTAGTGCCCTAAAGCCTCAACCATTAACCCCAGATTATATTAAACTCTGCGTGTACTGTTTGGTTGCAGCCAGTCCCAAGCTCGGATACAAAAGGAGGGGTGGTTCCGCCGGAGAGAGTGGGTGTATCTGGTGGACTAACACACCCACCTGCGCTAGGACCTGCGCAGGCGAGCGCCGTACGCCGGGATGAAGGAGTCCAGGAGAGTTGAGTCGATCGTCACTGGGGTATATAGTGTCGAGAGGCAGCACGCCCTCTTTGGTCCGGATTTCAAGCTAAGCGGTAGCCCTATCTGCTAGCACAAATAGGGAAATTTCAAAGCATCCCGTCAGAGGGTCGCAGGCGAGGGATGTGGGGGCTGCCTAGTTTCCCTGAAAAGGGCTAGGTGGGGGTAAAGGCCATGCTGACGGAACAAGTGACAGTCTATTCAGGCCTTTTTAGCCCTATCTGCCAGCTGGATCGAGTTGCCGAAGGGAAAATCCAGGGGGACGAATGTTTAACATATAAAAAAAAATATGGACAATCCAAGGCCCATTAGAAAAGGGGGAGACATGTCAGAGGTGCTTACCTTAGACACTGACAAACAAGCAGGAGGTGGTCCCACTAATGGGGCAATTTCCGCGCTGGTTGTTCCCAAAATCCAGTTCCAAATCTGAGGAGCTAGACACGAGAAAAGCGTAAGGAACCGCGAGTAGCAAAACTCTTGCGGAACCCAAAATAACAGATAACCTTTTCTCTGCTGCCTGGCAAGTGGTGAGCCGTAAGGGAAAGGGCAAGGCATCCAAAAAGGTGACTTGTCGACCTGATGGACTACCAGGTGGGTCTAAGATCAGAATTCATTCTGTCAACAAATGAATTTAGGTTATTTAAACTAAAATGCTGATACAGCTGGACATCATCTGCGTACAGGTGATACTTGCTGAAATTTATTAGGGAAACAAGTGCATTGATAAACACAGAAAAAAGCACCGGAGATAAAACACCGCCTTGAGGAACACCAGCAACAACATTACACCAATGGGAGAACTTATCATCAACATATGCGTTGCCGGCGTCCCCGAAGATAGGAACTGAACCATTGTAGAACTGACGATGTTAAATTCAGGGATTTCATAATTGCTAACAGGATGTCATAGTCAATACAGTTAAAGGCGTTACTGAAGTCTAGAAGGACAAGAAGAGTGAGTTGACGATTATCCATCGCGAAGCGGATATCATTAGTTATTTTAATTAAGGCCGTGGAAGTACTGTGCAGAGATCGGAAACCAGACTAAAAAGGATTAAAGAGATTGTGTTTGTTTAGAAATTTTGAGAGTTGGCCATGAACAACCTCAAATTTTGGAGAAGACGGAGAGGATAGATATTGGCCTATAGTGGCTGAAATTAGTAGGAGAGCTATTTTTGGGGACAGGAATCAGGAACGCTTCTTTCCACTTTTTTACTTCATTATCAGTAACTGGTTCAAAACAGAAAAAAGTACAACATGGTAAATGGAAAGAAGTGATATACCTATTTAATATTATCGCTTTTGACTGTTGAATCCAATGAAACTGGCAAAGAGCAAAAATGTTTGTTGAGCGCTGTTAAGTCAAGGAACTGACTAACATTCTGTTTGCTTTTACCAAAGCCCAGGCTGCGCAAGAACTTCCATAAATTCTGGGTTGTACAAGTATCAATAGTATTGTGAATATGTCGGCGTTTGGCATTTCGTATCACCTGGGTTGCAGCGATTTCGTGCTTATATATCGCTTGCACCTCGAAAGAAGGAGAATGGACTTTAAGGAGATACAGTCATATTTTATACCGCATCATGGTGTCATCATCTAAGTTACATGTGGTACTTGATGCTAGTAGCGCTAAAACTAGCACCCGCCTCTCCCTTAACGATAGTCTTTATAGTGGACATAATTTTCAGGGCAACCTATTTAATATAATAGTACATTTTCGTTTATTTCGTATTGCGCTATCAGCTGATATCCGCAAAATGTTTCTTTGCATTGGGGTTTGTGAATGCGATCGTCGATTCTAACGCATTTTATATCGCTTTAACCCAAAAGAGCCACTAAAGGTGTTTGAATCAAACCGAGTTTGGTTTGGTTTAAAGTTAAGTCCATTACATGCGCTGCGCACTGTGAAGCAGCAAGCTGCATATGAAGGTTCCTCTTACTTAACATTAAAGCTAGGGAGGCAATTGAGAGTGATCTGCATATGGACGATTTTGTATACCCAGTTGATAACGAAGAGGAAGCCATCTTAACCACCGCTGAAGTTATAAAACTCATGAAAGCAGGTCAATTTGAGCTCATCAAGTGGACGAGTAATTCACATACTGTTTTAAATACAATACATACATTAATACCCACTGTCACATCGTCATTTGGCTGTAAAGGAATTTGACGATTCTGATTTGCACAAGGTGCTCAGTCTGTGTTGTTCGCCTGAGTCAGATGTGTTTAGTCTTAAGGTAAAAACGCCCGCTGAGACCTGCACAAAGCACACGATATTATCATGTGTTGCTAGATTATGGGATGTCGTGGGATATGCAGTACCTGTGATATTATATGCTAAACTTTTGATTAAACAACTTTGGTTGTGTGAACATAATTGGGATGACACACTGCCTGATTCGTTCGTTTGTGGCTACGCTTTAGGGAGGAACATTATTTACTAAGTTAAAAGATACACGCCAGATCAAGTTGCAAAACAAACTCATTTAATTAAATATACCTTCCACATATATTACAATTTTACCCTCGACATTATTAATACATAACATAACACCTTTCTATCCCAATAACATGGTTACAATCATAGTTAAGGACTTAAGTTGAATCACCAATGACCAACAGCTTCTTGCCAAACTTTAATTACAATTTTACACATACATACACACACATTTCTGGTGGTGGTATTTGTATTGGTGGGTCCGACCCAGAAGACGAATTTGATCTTCTACGTGATTGAGGTATTGGCAGGTCATCGGGGATCTGGTTCTCGATTACGGCATAGATCGCGCCAGTATTTAGTCAACATGTCGACGAATTAATAGTCCATCTTCTGTTCTCACCTTATAAAAACCAGGGCCCTCAATATACTCAATGGTGGCGCGTCGCCACTTCCCTCCTGACCCATAGGCACGCACCAGCACGGGCTGGTCCAGCGCGAAGGCTCGGGTGGGCGCACGCCATGCTGCCTCCTCCAGCTGTCGCTCAGAGCGCTGTGGCCCGCTATCGAGATGTAGGGCCGACACCGCAGTTTTATATTTCCGTCTATTCAACATCTCTGCAGGAGTTTTACCGAGGTTATTCGGCACCGTTCTGAGAGAGTAAAACACCCTAGGTAGTTTCACAGTCGATGATACACCTGCATCAGACATTTTCTTGAGCTTGTTCTTGAAGGTCTGTATCGCCCGTTCGATTTGTCCGTTCGTTGCCGGGTGATATGGGGGTGAGTACATGTGCTCGATGCCATTGTCCTGCAGGAATTTATTAAATTCCCTTGAGCTAAAAACTGTACCGTTGTCCGAATTAATTTTTCTGGCAATCCCTACGAAGCAAAAATCCTGCGACAACTTGCTATTAGAGCTCCACTACTCATATTAGATAAAATATCTGCCTCAAACCATTTGCTATAGCTGTCGATCATAAAAAAAATGTCTTCCCTTGAAATGGTCCTGCAAAATCAACATGGACACGACACCATGGCTTATCAGGTAAAATCCATGTATGCGGATCTCTCGGTGGATTGTTTCTCACGGCCTGACACAACTCACAGCCAGTCACTGCGGCCTCTAGCTGAGCGTCCATACCGACCCACCATACGTATCCTCTAGCATAGGCTTTCGTTTGGACGATTCCAGCATGCAATACCTTTAATACCTGCTATTGTAAAGAAGCGGGTATAATGACTCTGTTACACCACAATAAACACTCTTTATTATGTGAAAGAGCCTCTCTTGGCGTCCAATACAGCTGGGGTATGGGATCAGTATTTTCGCAAGTCCATCCATGTAGCACATGAAATAAAACCTTTTGTAGTACTGGGTCTTTTTTTAGTCTCCGAAGCAATTTTCGCTGCATCCAAGTTGAATTTAGAGGGAGGTTCCTCCAAAAGTAGCACATCCGCTAACAAATCCATCCCTCGCACTTCAGCTGCCTTAACAGAAGTCCAACGGCTGAGAGCATCTGCATTACCAATGCATTTTCCGGGTCTGTATTTTATGTAATATTCATAACACGCCAATTTCAGAGACCATCGCAACATTCTAGTTTCTAGGTGAAATCTGATCCGGAATAGGTTTATTCGGATTAAATAATCCGATTAATGGTTTATGATCTGTAATGATATAAAACTTCCTTCGTAGTAAAAATTTATGGAATTTTGTAATCCCGAAAATTATGGCTAAAGCTTCTTTATCAATTTGTCCATACCGTTGCTCTTGGTGTTGTAACGTTCTGGATGCCATCATCACTGGTCGTTCTGACCCATTCTCCATTACATGGGCAATCATTGCACCTATACCATATTCCGATGCATCACAGATTAACAATAACTCTCTTTTTAAGTCATATCCAACTAAGGTTAAATCTGATGACGACAAATCCTTAGCTTTATCAAATGCAACCTGCTCCAGTAAACCCCATACCCAAGTTTTCTTTGCTTTCAGCAATCGATACAATGGCTCCAGTATTGTAGCTTTGTTCATAATGAATTTTTCATAAAAATTGTATAACCCTAAAAATGCCCGCAGCTCTTCTTTGTTCATAGGTGCTAGTTTTTCCTTTATCTCCTTCACTTTAATAGGTGACGGGTGGAATCCCTCTGCATCAATCATACGTCCTAAAAAACTAATCTTATTTGACGCAAACACACATTTGTTCAGATTTAACCGAAATCCCATTGCATTTAGTTTGGTCATGACCACTCTTAGTCTTTGATCATGCTCCTCCTTATTCTTTCCACT